TAGTGAAATGATTAGGCTTGCATATATAGAGAAATGTGGTTATATACAAACATAATATAAACATATTAAATAAATGACATAATACATTAAGCAAGATAATGAATCAAATAAGTCATATAACATACATGCACAATATAAAATACAATATTGAATACTGATTACATCTAGGGATGAAGAGAGTATGGAATAAAAAAGGAACCATACCTGACATAAGTTTTTGGTAATATTTTAATTGGTTCATAGTTATTAAGTTATTTTTGTATTTCCAAATTATGTATACATTACATGTATTATGGACAAGGAAATAATATCCTACATAGGAGAAGGTCATTGTGGTACGAGCTTTAAGAATTTAATAGTGAATAAGAATCCTGAAGGACTACCGAGGTAACAAGGAGAGTAACTTAATTTTGATCATTGTATGTTTATACAAATATAACATTTGTATTAAATATTTCTAAAGAATATGTAAAAGACTATGTGTTGAGCACAATCTGTTGTGGTTGATACACTATTATCTGTATTATGCTATTATAATGTATGTAAGGCCTAATTTGAATATATTTACTTTTTCAAATAAAATGGTAAAGCTCTTTCTTCCCACTATCATCTCTACTTGCTTTACTGTACTTCAAAAGGACTATATATTCTGTAAGATTTTTTATGCCCATCAGAATTAGGTGGTCACTATTCTGTTTCAGTTACTTCACATTAAAAACAAAAGATTTGAAATTAAGGAGGACATTCAGAGCAAATTATAGCAAGCATTTCTCTATTCAGCATAATCAAGCTGTAGAATTTAGGTTTACATTTAAAGAATATATTGCTATTGATAGCTTTAAAAGAAACTAGATGATAATGTTATGAATATTAATACATTTGCAGCTAGCAATACAGTGGTAAACTGAAATTATGCTTCACTGCATAGGCTGACTGACTACAAGAGACACAAAGTTCTCTCATCCACTGCATAATAACTAAGGTAGTTTGCACTAGTTATTGTTACCTTTCTTTGAATCATCAAATTATGGCTTGGATGAGTTAACACTGCTAGTTACTTAAACAAAATTTATATTCCATGTACAGTACTTTAATGATTTGCTATACCATTTCAAAATTGATTTCAGTTACCTCTTAATGACATAGAAAACCTTAACAACATACATTTTTTGTTATCAGACTGCACACAACTACAATTTAAGTATAAACAAAGGCAAATTTCAGTCCATGTCCTTGTATTAAAAATAAATGCTGCTGAAATTTAGGTATATTTCATAAAACAGAAATCATACAATTTTCCCTTAGGCTTTTTTGGTTTGTTTGTTTGTTTTGCTTAATATTACCATATATTTCCTCCAGTAAATGATGAACACCAATTTATACCATTTAAAATAAACACATAGCAGTCCAAGTGCCTATATCATAGTTAACTTACTCATTTATGATAGAGCATTTCAATTGTTCTTTTTTTTTTTTACTATAAGTAACATTCTTATTATTGTTTGTGCAAAAGCTTGTGCACTTAGCATAGTTTCCTTCAGGACAGAGCTCATGAAGTAGAATTGTTATATATATATATATATATATATATATATATATATATGTAGTCTTAATTTCATTTGAAATATTGAATTTATAATGTATGTTGACAGCGATGGTGGAATCATCTCTATGCCACAACTTTGCTAATTTTCAATATGCTCATTTAATAATGCATGAAAATTCGATAGAAAAATTTGGTGGTTTAACTTTTATTGATAAGCAGTACATCTGAATTATCATGTTTTATTTATCTGAATATTCTTAGTAACTAATGCAGTACAATGAATAGTAGAAAGGAGTTTCTACTGCATTTCTTAGATAAATGCATGAATAGAAAACTTTTTAATGTAAAAATTAAAACCTTTTAATAAACTGTTATCTCTTGTTTGTCATAGTACCAAAAATACTATACTTTTGCCCAGTTTGTCATTTCCTCTGGATATTTCTGACACAAAGGATTTTAAATTTTGTATGTTAAACATAACATATTATTCATGTTCATTTTGGTTTCCTTAGTTACACTTGAAGTTTCTTATGTAGTCTTTCTGCTTTCCAGTAGTTTCTTTCTTCATGGCTTGGCTTTCTTAATACTGTTTCTCTAAATCAATTCATGTGAATATTATTACTATACCATTTAAACACAAGACTACTTCACGACGTAGTCTAAAGTAGTCTCATGTTCCCCTCTGATATATAATTTATTTCTTAATGTGGTTGTGAAAATCAAATATTTGAAAGCAGAATTATCCGTTTTTTTTAACTTAAGCTTTCTCTTAGTCCAGTCATGTAAGAACTTTCATGGCTGTGTAGGTCTGACCCCAGTGTCATGCTGAGAAGCAGAGGGAAAAGGAAGGAATCTTACCAGCTATTCCTTACTCCAAATTTTAGGTTGCTTGGATTGAGAATCTCTTTTTGCTACACATATTCTGTCATCCTCCCCAATCCCACACCAAAGTGGATTTGTTTACAAAGGCAAACATATAAAATGAAAAACAAAATCCAAACTTGTATATTATCAGAGACCAATTAATTTAGAAAATTATCACTATGTTACATACTACTTGCATAATATTCAAAATGACTGCAAAACTTAGGAGACAGATAACATTTTTTATCAGAATATGGCTTTAAAATAATATACTGAATTTACTATCTCAATTTTCTCCATGATCTATCTAATAACTATAATATTTGCCAAGAATTCACAAAACAGGTAATCTCTATTAACTTCAAGGCAACACAATCAATGCTGTAGAGAGACTTCTGTTAGTGAATAAATGATGAAGTTCAACAAGAAAAGATGCAGAGTCAACAGAAATATTCAACAAAATGCATAGCTATATTTTATAAATGTTCAAAAAAGATAATATGGGTTGGGTACAGATATAATTTGACTAGCTTTTTGCAGAGACTTTAGAACTGAGATTTTATTACATTTCTCTAGTTTGAGTGGCTCTTGTTGAAAACAAAGAGCAAAGTAAATATGGACTATTATCTAAGTAAAGGCTGGGTAACAATTCCTGTTACTTTATTAAATGATGCTTATGTTACATAATGTTACAGAAACACTCCTACAAGTAGTTAAAGAGACACTTACAGAAATGTATCTAAGTATGAATATTTAGAAAGTGCATTTGCAACAATTCATGGAAAAAATAGATAAATGATATTTTCATGCAATGATATTGAAAGGAGTAAAATTCACTTCTACAAACTACTGCAGAAAATTTCTATATTTTGCTGAGGAATAAAACATACTATGTAATAGTAAATGTGGTCTTATGATCTTATTTTTTACTGAACACCCAAGAATACATCTGCATACATGTCCACATACACACATACAGGAAAATGAACTCTGGAAAGTACATACCAAACCTTTAAAATGATCAGACCTGATGCATCATAATAAGATGATGAGAGGAAGGATTGATTTTGTGTGTTTTGGTAGTGTTTGAATTTTGTACTCAATTTAGCCTGCTCTCACAATTTGAAAATAAATATGTATATATACACAGGCATACATAGTAAAAGGGAAAAAAGCATATATATTTAAATGTATATATCAGCTACCTTTTTGAGAGATTGAGAGTATTTTAATACCATGTGTTTATGCCTTCTTATAAATCTAAGGATCACCAACAGGACCTCGATGACCAATTTAACTGGATGCCTTTTTCACTGAAGAGGCAACAGCTCTGCTTCCATAAATGCATTTAGTCTCTCAGTGGCAGATGCAGATTAATTTTGGTGCAGTTTCTATTGCAAACATGCTCTTCACAAAGCTACAACTCTTTTGAGTGTTCAGAATGATTAGATTAGATACATGGGTTGATGTTTCTAGCAATTATTTCTGTCATCATTTGTGAGGTAAAAAGCACTCTCTAGCAGACTTTGTGTGTTTAATTTTAACTCAGGGAAAACTTTTATGACTGAGTGATAAACCCACAAAACTGGAGTTCATATTTGAAACCTTCACACTGCTACGTGTAATGACACCAGTGTGCATTACCATTTTTAAAAGTGTAAAGAAATCAATGAGCAGATTGACATTACAGAAATGCATTCTGCATTATAGACATCACTCAAGAGATTGATATTTTATGCTTATAAAACTTAACATAAAATTAAATTGCAAATACTTCCTCACTATCTACTAAAATTCTAGCCTAAAGCAATACACTGTTAAGAGGAAGCATTTGTTCAGGTCCAGTAGACATTTTTACTATATGATTTATGTGAAAGACTTCATTCACCTCTTCATAGATTCAGTAATGAGGTTTTTCTCTTATACCCAGAAAGTACAGGAATTTCTATAAAACTTATAATCCAGAAAACATAGCCCTGAATTCTCAATAAAAATAGCCAAATTTTAAACTTGAGGTATTTTCTCCTTGTGTCAAATGATTATGTCATTTCAAATAGCTGACATTATTCCATTATCTAAATATATAAAAAGTATCTAAGTATCCCACGTGGAAAACACATTTCCATTTCTTAGGGAAAAAGACAAGAGTGACAATTTCAAGTACAAAAGATTGTGATTTTTCTCCTTAGAATCTACAAAGATTGTATGTAATTTCAACTGTTTCCCTCAAAAGTTAGGAATAATAAAGTTGGCTTAGTTATAAGCATGCAAGTAAAAATCCAAAGGATATAAGAAAAGATAAAATTGATTTCACTATCATCAATCTAATGCATCATGGACTTACATGGAGCACCTGCTAGCCACATGCTAGCCTTGCTTAGCTACAAGTTTTTGACTACCCACAGGGAAAACAATGCCACTAACTGAAACCTTTAAAAAATAGGAATATACTTATCTTTATCTTCAAATCTATCCAATTTTAAAAATTATCTACCTGGTAAGTGCAAGGTGTTGAGTTCAATTTCTAGTACAATTAAATAAATATAAAAATTATTACTGTTAATATGAAATTAAAATAGACAATTCTCACCTTAGGCATTCAGCATCATTTTGAGGCTTTTCACTAATTTTTGTCTTTTCTGCCTCTAGGTATTTGGTCATATAAATTGCTTCTTTTTCTTCATCCTTAAGAACTAAACAAAAAATTCATAATTCATTTTTTTGTAGTATCAGGGATCGAATTCAAGAAAAGCACTTATTCCACTGAGCTATCTCCCCAACCCCAAAATTATTATATTTTAAAAATTAAACCTAAAGGTTATTTTTAATCAACTCATCTAAAAAAGTTTGCTGGTGCTACATATTAAATATGTATCATAGGAAATTTGTACCTGTACATGATATATCTTAATTTCTCTTTTTTCCCCAATCTCTACCCCTCCCTTCAACCCTTCTTCTCATTTACAAAGCTTTGTTTCCATTTTGTCCTTCTTGTATTTTTTCTTTTCTCTTCCTTCCATCTTCCCCTTCCCTAGTTTCTCTCTCCTTCTGAATAATTTCTATTTCATAATATCTGCTGTGCATTTGTTCCTTACTCTTTCGGTTTCTTACACCAGGGAGGCAATGCAATATTTGGTATACTATTTATTTCTTAAGAGTATGACCTCAAGGCACATACATTTACCTAGAAATATCTTTGGTTTACCCTTCTTTATGGTTGAGTAAATTCCATTGTGTATGAAAAATAAATACTCCTTGAATATAAAAAAAATCCATATTTTTTTTATCCATTCTTTGGTTGGTGGGTATTTGGGCTGTTTTCCAAGATTTAGCTATTACAAACTGTGCTGCTATAAACATGGGTGCACATATTTTGCTCTGGTATGATGTTTTTAATTCTTCCTGGAAGAATAGCAGGGGAATAGCTGTGCTCTGGTAGCCACCAAAAATCAGTCCTAGCCTTAAATACAAAGGACTGAGGCATTCCCCTGGTCTGCGACCAGTAGAGCAGCCTTTGGCCCACAGGCACAAGCAGGCAAGCCGTCCTGGCCTGCAGCAGAATAAAGGCACTACCCCATCTAGTGACCTGCATCTAACAGGAGAGAGTATTGTGGAGCAAAGGAAACTGTGAAAGGTCGAGAAGGAGCCAACTACATACAGGTCTGGGAGCAACTCCAGGCTTTTTCTACCTGAGGGCACCACATCAACTGGCACAGTGCCAAAGAGACAATCACATTAGGAAGAAGTGGACCTATATAACATTGTCAGCTTATTGCCAGTTACAGCACCCATATCCAAGGGCCAAGATCAGCCCTATACCCAGCCCAAATCCTTCTGGGATGCAACTTGGTCACTACCACAGAACTGTGGACACCAAAGGAATTTTATTATTATTTTGTTTGATTCATTGGTTTTCCCTTTTCTGTCTGATTAGATTTTTGTGGGTTTTCAGTATTTAGGTTTCTTATCTTTCTTTTGGCTTTATTCTGTTTTCTTTCTCCCTTTTCCTCAACTATCTTGACTTTATGATATTTTCATGTGAGTAAATAATTTTTCTTCTTTTTGTGGTTTGCTTCAATATTCTTTAACTTTCTCTTTCATTCTTTCTCTCCTGTGTTCTTCTCCAGTTTCACAAAACCAGGTTGTTCATCCTTTGCAATCTAGCCTTACTTTTACTATATTTGTCCTCATTCATCTAGCTGTTTTGTCCCTATGCCTCTTAAATCCCCCTCAAAAGGATAAAATCACTCTATCCTGTAATATAGTAAGAGGAAAATCACTGCACACAAGTTCCTAGTATATGTTGGGTTTTGTTATGTAATGGTAGAACTTGCTCTTATGGTTAAAGGTATCAACGTAATACCACAGTTTATCAGTAGTGTGGAGGACCACCTGAACAGCTGTTCTTGAAAGAAGAATGATTGTCTCCATTTTGGCTGAGCACCAGATGCCCAAAACATTAGATACTATCTCAATAGCATAATGCAAATTACTTTCTCTGCATATGGCAGAGGTAAATGTAGGCCACCTACCTAGCTCAGCTCACAGTACTCACCTACTTCCCACAATTCTCAGTCATT